ATATATTAATTCTATATTATTTGTGTGTTAATAAAACAAAAATTATATATTTAATATAATCTAACATATATGTTAAATATTTCTTCACCTCTCTTTCTAATAAATATCTAACCTAACCACGTTACTTTTTTTTCAGATATCGACGAGTGTTCGATCGACAATGGTGGTTGCAAGGAAGTATGCGAAAACACAGACGGCAGTTTCTTCTGTGCTTGCGACGGTGACGAAAAAACTCTCTCCACCGATGGGAAAACTTGCTTGGGTAAGTTTTCATCTATCCATCTTTCTCTTCTCATACTCAAACTCATTCGCTCTTTCGTTCACTCAAGCCGTACAATAATTTTCTCCAACCCCGAATATGATTTCCACTTTTCGTTTGACACGGGAAGAAGGGTTGGGTGGTTAGATTGGAAGGGGTGAGGGGAAGGGCGTGGAAACCCATGCATCACTCTGGCTCTGAAAATACCATAATGTACAGCGCGATGTAGGAATGGAGGGTTAGGGGGTAGGGGTAGGGGAAGGGGTGGAGAGGGTGAACAGGGAAAGGTGAGATGGAAAGCCTAGCTACGTTGTGAGAGAAAACATTTTAACTCCCACCTCACCCTCTCTCAACCCCCTTCAAACCCCCCTCCCCCTCCTATCCTTTTCCCTACCCTTCCCCCTGCAGTACTACTCTCTTCTCGTTCATTCTCTCCCTCTCTCATTCTCTTTAGGTTGAGTACGTACATCGTATAATAACGTATCGCGAATAAATTTTCTTACAAGCTTGGTTTGATAAACGACCTCGTGCTTTTACGATGAATACCGGCGTGGTTCCATGATCGAGCCGTATAATCTAGCTGAACAATATCCCGGGGCAGTGATAAATTTTGTATTGCAACGTTTAATCGATGCGTTAGGCTCCTCTACGTACGCATATGCATGCATGTATTTATGTACGTAGATATATTTCTATCTCTCTCTCTCTCTCTCTTAATTTCTGTTTAGACGTATCTCTATCTTTCTCTAATACGGATTTGTTATCATTGGTTAAAGGTTTATATGGTTTATATGGTATACTTAATGAATACTTTCAGATGTTGTTAAGTTTAACAATAAATATTTATGAATAATTAATAATTAATAATATATGATGTTTATATACAAAAGAGGTAAAAGTGAATATCGATAAATGTAACACAATTGTTATGATAATTAATAATAATGAATAATATAATTTTCCGTAAATCCGCCTCGTATTTTATTCGTTTATGGTAATAACGCATTTACGTGGATGGGTTGATAAAGTTTATTAGCCTAAACCACAGAGACCATTCCTTTTTTTTGGTTAAATTTATTAAAATTGTAAATTTGACAGAAAACAAGAATGAAAAGAGAGATATTATTATTATTTTGTTTTATCGAGAGGATGGAAACTTTTTCATCCACCCGATTTAAGGTTTCGTGGGAATGGGTTAATTATATCATTGTTATTGATTAGGATTGTTTTTTGATTTGTTTTTTTTCGTGTGTTTTATGAATAATATAATACGTAAGATATTATGAATTATTTTGACAATTTTTTATTCATATCACATGTTATATATCGTTGATTTCTTTTTTTTTTTAAATTTATATACACTGTAGAGAATTATCGATAGAATTTCATTGGAAAGTTTAGAACTCGTTAGTAATATACAATATCCGTTTTGAAAGATCTTTTGTTTAATCTCTTTGATGGCTATTGGGAAAAGGAAAATTTGCAATCAATATTATAGATCATTAGGTAATAAACGTATTGAATATCTCGATTCTATGCGAATTTAATGTTGAAATGACTGGAATTGTTGAATCGTAGTCGATGAATATATTCGATTTCTATTCATAAAGGGATGAAAAACGAGAGAAGGGAATAGATAGATAAAGAGAGAGAGATATATAGAGATACAGATAGAGAAATTGAGTAGTGGAAAACGGATGTTCATGTTGAACAAAACTCGTCAAATAATATGTGAGAGATATGAAAAAAAATATTTTTCAACAACGTGTTTTTCAACGAACAAATTTTTTGCGACACGACGGCGGCGGAATTGATTTCGAATTTGTCAAAATAATATTGAAAGGTTAAAAGAAAAGAAAAAATATAATTCAGACATTTTTAAACATCACCACGTCTCATTGATTAATTATTATAATATTTCGAACGACAAGACGTATCACGATTAATTATTAACGATGCACATCATTTGATTGATTTTCTTTGCAGATATAGACAATGTTGTTTGTCCAGCATTAAATCCCGCGGGAAGGGGTTACCTGATGTGTTCACGAATGGCCGGACCAAAATCATGGCGAGGTAGACGAAAGATTACTAATCATCCTGGTACCAAATGTTTCCTCAAATGTCCCCATGGTTATCAGCTCCATGGGGAATACGAGCTCACGTGCCAATCCGATGGTACTTGGGATGGCCCGAAACATGGTGAATGTGTTAGTAAGTAACTTTTGTATTTTTTTTTGTTTTTCTTTCTATCTAAGACTTGTAGAGTTTATAGTGTTGTTATGCGTTTATTATGGTGGTATATGTATGTTTATTTAAGATATTAAGATCGTGTAAAAGTTGTGTCTAAAATGTGTGTTAAAAGAATCTCCGAATTGATATATTTTTGATATCGAAGTAATGCGAGAAGTACAAAATTATAATTTGATTTGACATTATAAAATCACTCTTTAGAACATTAATTAGTATAATTATCTTATTGCATTATTTATTAGAAAATTTGTCTTCAATTACTAACACGTAAATGTACGATTATCGTTACAAGAGAAATCGAATATCCGTTTTAGGATTAATTTTGTTAAATCATTTTTCAATCAATTTTTGTACACACATATCTGTCTATTTTTCCATCATTCTTTTTCTTTTAACATTTACCGTACGCGATTTCACCAGTATCTCAAAATTCTATCTAACAGAAGAAATGGTAGTGGAATAGATAAAAATTGAACTGACCAGAATTGATATTAAAGTTTTACAGATATTTTGTTTGTGTGTGCCATGTGCAAAGATCTGTGACGTTAGTTTTAAAACAAAACAACAGAAAAATGAATGTTCCAAAAAGATTTTATTTGGATGGGAGGTTATTTTGCTTGTATTTGTTAGTCCTTGTTTTGTTCCTATTTTTTGTGTGTACTATATCACATACACACACTCACGCACAAACGTATACAGATACGATATCGTAGTTTACAGAAACGTTACGTGATACCTATTCTAGATCGAGTTAGCCAGCGTGTGGTCATAGTCCGTGTTGCATACGAAAATAATCGACGACACAGACCGCCGGCCGATATTAAATTTTTATCATGGATCGTGTCACCTCGACGCAAGCGGTCTACGTTATCGAAAAATAGAAAATGTCGTTGAAAACGTTCACCGTTCGATGCAATTTCCCTTTTTTTCTGTCCCTTCTTCCCCTGTTCCTTTAATTCTCTCTCTCTCTCTCTCTCTCTCTCTCTCTCTCTTTTTATGTAACTAGAAAATCCTATCCTCTTACTTTATCTTAAATTTCCGTTGTAATAAAAGTTCCTGTTACTGAATTTTATTAACAATTTAAAATTGAAAATTATGATTTTTATATTACATATACACACACGTATTCATAATATTAACATTTAGGCACATATATTTGTAAACATGATGGTTTTAATACGTTGTATATATATGTATATGTTTGCATATATGCATGATTTTTTTTTTTTTTTTATTATAAATTGTTAATTAGTTTGAAATTTCACATGAGAAAAAATAATAACGAGCGTGTCTCTTTGATATCATTTTAGTTTTTCGAAAAAATCGATGCAAAAGTTTTTATCATTTTTTAAATTTCAATTGTTTATAAATAAATTGTTAATTTATTATCAATGCGATCTCCAAAAAGATTGAAAACAATGTCTGTCGTTTCGTGATACAAGTTTTTCAACAAAAAAAAATGTAAAAAAAAAATTGTTTATAACAATTTGTTTATAACAAATGAATAAACAATCGTTATCGATGCGACGAGAAAATCAAAAAGTATAGATCGTTTAAAATTCTAAGAAACGAAAAAATTTCATATAAAAAATATATTATATAATATTGTTTATAATTAATTATTAATTAATTATTATTAATAAGTTAACAAAACGTAGAATTAATTATTCTTTAAAATGATCTTTGTTTCGCGTTTCTACGACCATTAGTTCCAAAAATATTTGTATGTAAATATTAGACGTTTATGTTTACTCATTGACCTATATCATTTCTTAGAATTCATTGATAAAACTAGTGGCCTACATAAATTCTTGGAAAACTACTAGGTTACTACGAACATCTGACCGTCGTAGTAAACACTTTTTACTCTAATACTATTACGTTTACTACGCCCCCTATGCGCATACTACGAGACACAGGTGTAAACCAATTTTCAATGGCAATATTTCAAAGACGATATCTCCGGAACCAGACATCGTAGAGACATGATTGAAACACCATTTTAAAGGGGAAAACACCCTCTTTATATATTTATATACTCAAATATTATCCTTATATTATAAACGATATTTTAAAAATAACATAAACGGGTATACACACGCATATATTTTAAAACTTTAAAAAAAATTATTATAAAATTTATTATAATGATAATACGACATACAATATTAAAATATAGACAAATATTACTTATGTTGGTTCGATAAATGATTTATTGGCCAATCGATATGACACATATTTTATAAGAAATATTCTAATAATACATAATCATATGGGAATAGTTATGTTAGATGCTCAATATCATGTAATTTGAATTATTTTGTATTCTAGGATACAGTAAGCCAAGATTGGAATGTCCAAAGGATGTCGTAGCAGAATTACCACCAGGACGAGACGAAGCTTTCGTGACGTTCGATCAACCCTCGACAGATCTTGATTGGTTCCGTTACGTACGATCTAAACCATCCTGGGGTACAAGATTGGAAGCCAATTTGAAAGTTGGTACACATGAAGTTAACTTTTTTGCGAGACACCCGGTATCGAAGAAACAAGCCAGCTGTGTATTGCGTATCATCGTCAAAGGTGAGTTAGTTAGTTATTCGTCGTGTTGCTTCTAATTATATACTTGTTAAACCGTTTCAAAGTAGAAAAACCCCGTACAAGTAGTAAACTTGATATTTCACATTTCGTTTAGTCTTTTACTGGTAAAATATATTGAAATAATTTTCATTACGAATACACAGGGCCGTGTTAAAAAAGCAACTACTGTAATTATTACAACCTATACTATTATACCTGCACAATTATATTTATATCACCAATACACTTTTACTTCGTTTGTTCGTCGTTCACATTCGTTTATGTATTATATTATATATTATTTAGCATCGTACATGTATATTGTAAAACAAGTGAAATTTTCAATTCGCATTTCGTTCAACGATAAATCGTGGACTATCGATCGTTACAAATTTGGTTAAAAATTTGTTCGTTCTCGTATACGCGTTACATAGATAGATTAAATAGTCGTTTGTTAAACGTAAGCCTATCAAATTATATTTGAAAGAAAAGTAAATAAATAAAAAATAAATATGCGTCACGATAAAAAATAATCGGCTTGTGCATATATATATATATATCTTTTTTGCAAAAGTATTAAAAAATGATATACATAATTAACAAATGAAAATTCTAAAAAATATATAACTTAATTATACTTATCGAAAATAATAATTCCATCAATACAAACAACATCTTATATATGCTCAAAACTTAAACTGTTCACGTACGATTCATAGAAGTAACATCTTGCAGGTAAATACAATACATATGTACAAATACATATACGCGGATTGTTGTTGTTGTTGTGTTGTGTCTCCTTTAAGGATTTTGGTGGAATAGAATGCGTGCACCGGTGCATGCACGTGCTCTGCCGTGATATGCAAATTTGTGGTGACTTGAGAATTGTTAAGTTACTACTACGTAAGGATGCTTGTTCATCCTCAAAGAAGAAGTATTATATCTACAAAGCCACCGTTAATCTCGGCCACTGAACGCTCTCCTTTCAAAAGGATTTAATTAAATGCGTTTCTGGAACATGCCTTCCCACAATGCCGGATACGAACGAACAAACGATGAGTTGGGTGGATCGGTAAGGTGGAAGTAGAAGATGGGCGGGTGGGGTGCGAGGATGATACGGATACGAATACAGGGAGGTGTGGATAGAGAATTGTAAAAGGGAAGGGGAAGGTGGGGTAGGGGGTTAAGCATTGCTCGACCGCGAATCAGATAATTCGATGAGTCTAAGCAAACGCGTTCGGCCAACTCAACATTGCAGGATGCTAGATTTCCTCAAGGAATTTCTCATTCCTCAATCTCCACCCCACCCCATCCCCTTTTCGTTCAACCATTTCTCAATCTTCTGTTTCTCCATATCTCTCTCTCTCTCTCTTTTTCTATCTGAATCCATCTCTATCTCACCTTACATTCTTATTTAATAAAAATATATAACAAGAGTGGTACGGGTTGATTGAAACAAACAAAAAAATAAATAAAAAAAAGGATAATACATAACTATCGAGTAGTGGACGGGTACAAACTTTTGTCGATAACATGAGAAAATTTCTCTTTTTTTATTGATTAATTTTTGACTCCTTTTGATCTCATTATATCGATATTTCATTAAATGCATCTATATTCCCCACCCACCCCTTCAACCAGTCTGGTATTCTTTTCTTGCATTGCAATGGGAGCTTGGGGAGAAAAAGATAAACAAAAGGAAAAAGGATAAATGTGTTAATATTAATAATAATAATAATTGTGAATTTTGCTTAACGATTCATTGTTAACGAAACAATTCAAAAAGGAGCAATCAAAGAATTCGATATTAATAATTCGGTTATTTAAAATGCATAACAATAATAATAATAATATAATGTAATTTTTGTATTAACTAAAATAAAACAATAATTTTGATATTGAAATTAAATATGGAATATAATTATAAAATGAGAAGAAAGGTACGCATTAAACGTGTATACGAAAGTCTCGAATATCAGAAAAGTGACAGTAGGAAAAGGGATAAAAGCGAGTTTATCCTCAAGAGGGCAAATACAATGGGAAGTTTACCTTTCCGTTTCGCTTTGTATCGTTTCAAAGCGGGCATATAATATCTACGTTTACAATTAGTAACGAGAATGCAGGAGATGTGGTCGACGCATGCAAATTTCCTCACCCTCACCCTCACCCACACCTCTCCACTCTCTCTCTCTCTTTCTCACATTTATTCTCGTTCTCACTCTCTCTCTCTCTCTCTCCCTTCATCCTTCTCTTTCTCTTTATTTCAAAGTAGTTACTCTTAGTGAGCACTGCGATTTAATTAAATACGTCACCGGTTGGATACGAACGGTTCCTTCGCCACAACGAAGAAGTTACTACTTCAAGTTACTATTATTTGGATAATTCGACGAGTATGGTATATAACTGAAACGTTTTACTAACATTTTCAACGATTTTTCTTTTCTTTTTTTTATTCTTTCTTTATTTCTTCTTAACGACAATTATTTTCTTAAGGACTCGCGAAAAGTCTTCTATTTTAAATGTCACTTCGTTAATTGATAGTAACAGAGGTACCTTTGTCGCGAAAATGATGACACACCGTTACCGTGTACCTGTTGCGAGAGAAATAAAAAAAAAAAAATAAAAGAAAAAATAAATATGACACCACGTTCGCGTAAACTGGCAAAAGGTTAATACGTTGTCGTAAAAATGACTCGTAGTAGTAATAACTCGCGTTAAATTTGTAACGACGATTTTTAAGTGCTGCATTTTAAGCTTCACACTCCTCCCTCTATCTCCTACCCTCCTTGTTTCCTCATCTCTTTCTCTCTCTCTTCTTTTCTTTTAATAATTAAATAAACGAACGATTAAATATAAACTGATTGCTTGAATATCGAAATACGTTGTTGTTTTTCGTTTATTTTCAAGCAACGTTTAGCGACAAATATTATTAAATTATTATAATATTATTTATATACACATATATATATATATATATATTGTCTCTCGTGAAAGCTTTGCGTTATTTTATTCGAGAAAATATGTAAGCCTTTGAAAATAACATTAACCATTATTTTCTGTTCGTAATGTATCTACGTAATGCGCGTATTACATATCATTAATAATTAAAAGGGCATAATCTTTTTTTTTTTTGATTTTCTGATATTATGATAAATAATATATGTTATTAGTAATATCATATAACGAATAATATACGTGTCATTTGATTCAATAAAAAATAAATAATAGGGAGAAACACATAGAAATGGCAGATATTAATCTTGATTTAATAAAATAAATTAATAATTAAATTTGGAAAGAAATTGCGAAAGAAATGTAAAAAAAAAAACAGAAAAAAATACGCCAAAAGAAGTATAACTTAAAAAAAAAAAAAAGAAAAAGTACCTAAATGTTTATCATATTCAAAGTTCGATCGTTCAAAACTTATACTTCAACTTTCTTTATTTTGTTAGTTTGTGTTTTTTTTTTTGTCAGTTGGTCTCTATTCAAAGTAATTCGAACGAACGAACGTACCAATTAAACGTCTACTCGTTCGGCAACATACCAATCACAACGATGCAAAGTTTTTCGAAAGCGGAACGAAACGAAACGAAACGAAACGAGACGAAACGAAACGAGGAAAGCTTTTCTACGCTTCGTTTGATCGCGTAGAGGAGGACTTTCCACAAAGCTCCTGGCGTCGTTGGTGCTATTCGTCGTCGTTTCGAGTAGTATGAAAGTTTACGCGCTAAGGAGCCTCGTTAGAGTCATGAACGAACGAACGAACGAGAACGACCATGATAAGTATAGAGACCCTAGGTTCTACTAGCCAACCGCGTACCCAGAATATGCCAAGCGAATTATTATTGTTAGAATGGTGCCCCGTGATAATGAAAACTTTTGTTCTCGAGTTGAAAACCATTCTATTATTTTTCTTTACCAACGGTAGGACCTCAAATTTCGCGTTTCGGCTAATTTTAATATCATTTTAAATAAGTTATATATATATATATATATATATATATATATATTTAATTTGTATACTTGTATATGTGTATTATTAATATTATAATTTTTGTATATATATATATATATATATTTCATTTTTGTGCATTTTTATCGTGAAGATATTTTTTTTCTTTGTTTTTTTTCCCCTTCTCGAATTACAAACACATTTCGTTTCTATTAATTTAAAGATATTATAATTTTCAAAGGGCTTTGTAGAAATATTTAATTTCTGTTTATACATTGTTAGGATATTTATATTCTAAATGGTCAACGATTAAACGGTCGTGTTTACTAATTTGAAAAATTTATTTTTTAATTAATATTATCTCTATATTTTAGTATGATTATTTTTTGATCAATTATGTAGGGTAATTTTCTATGACGTTGTATTGATCTTGATTGAAAAATAATTTTCTACGTGTTACATTATCTCGTGATATATTTTTTGAAATAATTTATAACGTCACCATACTCTTCTAAATAAATTTAAATGGCTACTTAAGTAAGTAATGAATTTTTTCAATGATATTTTTTTTAAATAAAACTAATCTCGAGATGGTTTTTTTTTATTTTCAAATTACAGAAGGTGAAGCGCCAAAAGTTAAAGATTGTCCAAACGATATCGAAGTGACTGGTAAAAATGGTACATCGATAACATGGACGGAACCAATCTTTACGGACAACGTTAAAGTAACACGGATAAACAGCAACGAGGTAATAAAATATAATTAAACTAACATTACGACATATATATTTTATTATAATATTATTAATGAGAGAGATAGAAATATTAAAAAAAAAAAAAACAAATTCGATAGCAAAATTTGAACCGTAGTAAAAAATAAAGTAGCAGGATAATTATGCGATTAATAAGAATGAACATCGTAAATTTACCGATGACATTTAACGAAAATTTATTTCGAACCCTTTAACCGCACCACGAGAACGGGCCAATTAACGCGGGCTAATGAAGATTATCGTTTGCGCCATTTTCGTGAGAACGATAAAAATTAATTAAGGACGGACAGAAGGAAGGACCTGAAACGTTCAACCGAACGTTCCAAGTTCATTCTCTAAGGGATCGGAGAAAGAAAAGGAGTAATAATAAATTAAAAATTTTCATTTCAATATTTTTTCAGGAATAAATTCAAATGTATAGTTTTTTATTTATATGAAAAAATTAGAGAAAGTAATGAAAAAAAGTGAAGGGAACGAATGAAAAGATTTGAAAAGTTCAACCAAATATTTCGCGTTTATTTTTCGTTGGACCAAAAAGGAAAGGTACAGTAATAAAAAATATATGAATATATAATATAAAAAATATTATATATAAGAATAATAAAAAGAGAGAGAGAAGATATATATATATATATATATTTTTTTTTTAATATACATAAAAACTTAGAAGTGAATGAGAAAAAGAAGTAGAAGTAGAAGAAGTAGAAGTAGAAGAAGAAGTAGAAGGTTGTTGAAAATTTTACGGGCTTAATTAACCACGACTACCCGGGACGGGTCGGTAATATTAATTACATAGCAAGATGCTTTACTTCCAAAATGGCGGTGCTTCCGCTCATCCACCTAAGATATTTAAAATAAAGCATAGAAAATATAATAATTGACAAAGATGGATAGATATTTTGTTTGTTTGTCATTATAAGATGTTAGTTTTAATAAATAACATCCTACAATTTCGCGTATTAACGGAAAACGTTATACGGTTCAATTAATTGTACTGATAAGTTACGGAATCGATACGAAAATTATACCTTTTAAAGTCATTAACGTTATATTGCCTCGTGGTAATATTCGTGTTTAATGGCCGATATAACGGCAAGCTCGCGTCTGACAAAGGACTACGATGCTTCATAAACGTATGCAAATTTTACAGTAGTAAATACTGTTCAAACAACGTCACGTTCTATATATACAGGATAAATCAAAAATAGATGAACAGTAAACGATAAGATTTATTTTTGAGATTACACATAGGATTACATTAATTAATATATACAATGTGAATTTTTGAATAAATAATTACTATATTTATATTTGTATTTTATACAATAATATTCTTACAATACAAAAATAATGAAAATTTTATCCAAAAAATAAAACAAAATATTATAAAA